GTTCAACCGGATTCGATGACATTTTGAAAAATAATAGAACCCGGTTTGATCAAACAATTATAAGAACATATCTATGAATTTTTTAAAATACATACCTCAAACTCTGTCTTGTAGAAGACAGTAGAAGATGCTCAGAAAAAAAGTTGAAAAAAGTGACAGCAGTGAAACGTGTGTTTGGCTCAATTATTAAGAGCAAATAAGTAATAACTAAACCCGGTTTAACGTTTGGCTCAATTATTGTGTTTGGTTCAATGAACAAACTTTTTTTTTTTTTCTAAAAATAACTAAACCCGGTTTAACGTGGGTCAATTGGTTCGGCGGTTTCCGGTTTTTTAACGGTTCGACCCGGTTTTAGAACCGGTTCAACTCTGTCCGGATTTCAATGTTAACCCGACCCGGATACGCTTCCGGTTCACGGTTTAACTCGGTTCAACCGCCAGTCCGGTTTTAAAAACATTGCTTGAGAATAAACTTGTGTTTATTTCTTAAAGGAATTGAAGGTTTACATTGTAAGTTCTAACATACTAATATTGAACAAATACATTAAGGTGACAAGTTGAGACTTATAAAAGATACATATAATAATAATGTTTTCTTTAGCTCTTATGACTCATACAAAGACGCGTGTTCATTCATCCACACATACATGTACTCCAATCTCTTTTAACTCTGACTGCTTTTCTCCATACAAAATACAAATCTATTTCCTAATTATTTTCCTCCCCATGAGAAGCAACAAAACTGTCATTTGCATTTAAAACATAGCGTTAAAAGACTACTAAAAATGTAACTTGATTATGGGTGATCATAAACTCCAAATTGTATAAACAAAAACCAAAAACAGAATGCCTTACCTTGGATCGGGACGAAGGTTTTTGGCCACTGGAGTGAGTCGGAGTTCTAGAAGAAGTTGTCACATTTGAGCCAGAGGTCCTCTCTTCTCTCACTTTATCGAAGATATGTGTATATCCAACAGATGTAGGGTTATTTTCATCCCAATCACCAAATTTCGGTACCACTGTCTCTTTCTCGGGCTATAAAATTTAGTAAATCAGATGGTTAGTAGCTATGAAACAACACTACTCAATACAAGATGATATTGATCAAAATGTGAAATTTCAAAGAGACATAAGAATATAAAAAAGCCAAATGAGATCTTACGCTTTCGTCGCCTTTGTGGTTGGATCTACGCTTAGATTTTCCAGTACCATCATAAGAATTCTTATGCAATGGAGACTTTTCATAACTCAAATTCAGAGAAACAGACTTGCCTTGTTTCTTGCTACCACTAGTCTCACCAGGGTCCAAGCCGGTTTTAACCGGTTCTTCATGATCCGGTTTAGGTTTAGAGGTTCCTTCTTCTTCAGGATCTTGAGGCTTTTTTATCTTGTTACCTCCAGACGTTTGGACTTTTCGAGCTTTCTCAAAGTAGGCTGTGTAAGGAACATTTTCTTCGCTTTCCCAGTCTCCGAATTTCGGAACATTCGAGCTCTGAAATTGTATTCATTAAGAATAAGTATCACAAATCAGAATAAGCAACCTCAACAGTTCTCTAATGAATTGAAAACACACAAAATCACAATGAACAATAACCTCTACATCTCACAGAAACAGAGGAAGAAGTAAAACTTACTGTCATGGGTACAATACGTAAGACTAGGAAAGAAGTAGCAAGAATTCAAAACTAAAGAGAAACTCTGGATTT